GGATAGGATAGGATAGGATAGGATAGGATAGGATAGGATAGGATAGGATAGGATAGGATAATATATAGAAAAAAGAATAGAATATGGAATGGAATGGAATAGCATTATTGTCATTTTGAATGTCCATTATTCAACATACATTAAAATGAAATTTCGTGGCATCCAGCTCTCAAAGGGTCACCACTTCCAATATAAACTGCCTGAACATGACCCAAATCAATCAATCAATACGCCTGTGCCCACCTGCCTTATATGACCCACAGCGCCCCGTATTCTGTATCCCGTAACAGCATCTCATCCTCTTCCTCTCTCTCTCTCTCTCTCTCTCTCTCTCTGCTCCTCATGCCAGGAATTCAAACTGATGTACGGGATGCTCTTCTCCATCCGATCCTTCGTTAGCAAAATGAGTCCTGTGGACATGTATCCTTTCTTTCCCATCCCCACCCCCACCCCCCTGGGCAATCTCGGGGGTGAGGGGAGAGGTTTTCCTTCCCAGTACCCCCCCCCCCAAAGCCACGCCGGCAAGGCTTTTGACGCCTGGCGGGCTGGCGAAGAGGGGTGTTTTCCCTTAACGTCCCGCTCCGCAGGAAGGACGGCTTCCTCTCCTTCCAGACCAGCAAGTACAAGCTGCACTACTACGAGACGCCCAGCGGGCTCAAGGTGGTCATGAACACCGACCTGGGAGTGGGCAACATCCAGGACATCCTGCACCAGATCTACAGCTATGTGAGGATTTGCGGGTTGCGCGTCCCCCTTTACGGTACAAGGGGGTCCTCGTCTCAGTGACAAGAACTGGGGGCCCCCCGAATTGTCCAGCCACTAAGCAAGCCGGCCGCTTGTTAAACTCGAGCCGTCGCCCTACATAATGGCCGAGTTATTGAAAGCCTGAAAAAGAAAACTCAGTTTTGCTGTGGGAAATTTTTGCCGGCGATTGCTTCCTGTTTTCCCGTGGAAATCGAAATCGGCCTCTTTCTTGTTTAAAAAAAGAAATGTAGTCTCAGCAAGTTTAGGAAGTCTTTTTTGCACTGTCATCTAAAACAACTAGAGAATCTTAATAAGAGGAATGGAAAAAGGTTCCGGCGATAGAAGGAAAATATTTGTAGCTCAGGATGAAACAGGGGTCCTTTGGACTCTCCGAGCTGGGTGGTTTTCTTGCGGACGTTTCGTGACCCAACTAGAGAACATCATCAGTGCTAGGGGTGGGGGTGGTGAGGAGGAAGAACTATGGGGTCCTTGGTGCTCTCTGAGCTGGGTGGTTTTCTTGCAGACGTTTCGTGACCCAACTAGGGAACCTCATCATTGCTAGGAGGGGTGGGCTTTGCAGAGAGATGGAAGAAGAACAGAATGAAGAGGAGGAGGAGGAAAAAGAGGAGGAGGAGGAGGAGGGTGACTGTGGGCTCTTTGGTGCTCTCTCCCACAGCAAACCTGACTTTACTTTTGCTTGAATTTTCTTGCCAACAACTCACTACCATAGCAGGTAACGGCCTCAGTGCTGGAAGGAAGTGGGATTTACTCTCTACAGAGCAAACTGATGACGTTACCTAGTTTGGTGATGGAACGTCTGCAAGTTAAAAGGTTCCTTTTCATTCCTGCTGGGGCAGTTCTACGCTATAAATGCCTGCCTGCTTCATGGGAGAGGTGGGGGAGTGACAACAAATTGGACCCTTTGGAGGCCATAATCCCGCTCTGTTTTTCCTCCCTCTGGGGCGGGGGGGTGGGGGGCGCATTGGGTGGGCGCGGGGAGAAGGAAACCCTGCTTACCCCCCCCCCCCCCCTCGGTTTCTCCCCTCCCGCTTAGATTTACGTGGAGTACGTGGTGAAAAACCCCCTCTGCAGCTTAAACGAGAGCATCCAGAGTGAGCTTTTTCGGAACAAGCTGGACAGCTTCGTCCGGGCTTTGCCCTTCTTCTCGGCTCGTGCCGGCTAGCTCTCTTTTTTCTGACGACCCTCCTGCCCCCGGACTCCATGGTGCACGAACAGTCCAGAAATAGCAAGCCACATCACTTCCCACGAGGCTGGGCGTTTGCACTGACTTGTATACCTTACTGCCAAGAATTGCCCCTCTGGGGACAGCGGTTTCCCCTCCGAGGAAGTACATCCGGATGTTGCTCCATCACTGGGTATCGCTCTATTTATAGTGGAATATTCTGATTTTTTTTTGTAATAAATTGGATCTCAGTGACTTCGGGATGTTGTAAACCTGTTCTTCTCATCCTGCGCCATCTTGGCCCGTTCGTTTGGGTTTGCCTTTGAGGAGTAGCCGTAAGTGTCTTCGTTCAACGTTTAGATCAGGGGTCGCCAACCTTTTGGACCTCGGGGACCACCAAACTCATCATTTTAAATTCCACAGACCAGAGACCCTGGGAAAATCCCCCCCAAAAAAAACTCTGCAGGAAAATTCCCCACCCCGTTTTCCTACCGTTGGATCCTTCTTTATTTGGGATCGCAGGATACCGTCTCCATTCTCAGGGGGAGGGAGAGAGAGAGAGAGAGACTTTTGGCTTCATGCAAGGAAAGCAGCAGAAGCCGCAGAATTCTTTCTTTTTCTCTCTCCCAAACTCCGCCAGAAGTGAGTCTTTGGGAGACTTGTCACACCAGCGCAGCCTCTTGGATCAGGAGGCCTTGCAGGGTCCGGAAGATTCCTTTCTGGCGGAGTTTGGGGGAGAGAAAGGAAGGTTTTGGCCGCTTTCCTTGCGTGCAGCCAAAAGCAGAAGAAGAAAGAAGCGGAAAGAGGCAGCCCGGTGGCCAGGCCAGGCGCGGGACTAATTGTTCCACTGATTAATTGAATATTCCCCCCTGCCCCCCACTTGGATCTGAGCCTCTCTCTACATGTTACCCCCTTTCCCTCTTCCTCCCGGCTGCACCCCCTGCAATGTACCCCAAACGGGCCCGGGAGCATTCAGCCAAGACCCAGGGAGTGCTCTGCTCCCACTGAGAAGCGTTAAATTTTCCACAGTCCCCCATTTTAATTCCTCTTCCAAAGCTCCAGATGACAGTTGGATTTGAAATCTACACTTAACGCCGGCAATGCTCGCGTAGGATTAGATTTCCCCAGAGCCACTTTGGCTCATGTAGAATCGCGTCTGTCGCACAAGCCGCCTTCGACTTATGGCCGTCATTGAGCCTGGAATCACGGTCCTGAGTTATTGCGGCCGTGAAGCAGGTCGCCGGGGGGGGGGGGCCCGCACGGCCCGATTTTATGACCTTGTGTGTGTGGTATTAAGGGAACGTGGGGGTCGTTAAGCAAATGCGTTTGATCCCGTTGGCATTTTTGCTGGAAACCGGAAGGAAACACATGCACACAAAAACAGAAACCTCCAACAAAATTGTGATTACAGTAGAAAGGTTCAGTGGCCTAGAAGCGGTGCTATCGCAATCAGGTGGCTGTGAGTTCGATCCTAGGTAGAGGCAGATATTTCTCTCTCTGGGCACGGTGAGAATATATCTGCTGAACAAAACTCCGCTCTGGCGACAGGAAGGGCATCCGGCCAGTAAACACTCAAATCTCCATTCAGTTGCCCAAGACCACCCCGCAAGGGATTATGGGGTCATTAAAAGAGGATGATGGTGGTCAAAATTGCATCTAAACTGCCACTGCATTTGGGTGAAGGTTGTGGCTGTCAGAATATCAACATCATGTCGGTGGCATCTTCCGCTTCCGTCGCTCAGCAACCAGTCGTTAAGCAAGGACTACCTGCTGTTGCTTAAGCGAAAGCCACTTTATCTCCTGTGATCCTGCACAAATCTCTTGTCTGAAAACACAAGTAGGCCTCGGCTTGCAACAGTTCATTTAGTGACAGTTCGAAGTTACCACGGCATTGAAAAAAAGTGACTTGGGACCGTTTTTTGCACTTAACGACCATTGCAACAACCCTGCGGTCGTGTGATCAAACGAATTCAGATGCTTGGCCAATGGCTCATATTTATGATGGTCGCAGCGTACCGGTGGGGGGGGGGATGTGATCCCCTTCTGCAACCTTGTGATGACCCGGGGGCATGGCACAAAGATATCCCACCCCTTTATTGCTCCAAATTCTCCCCAAATACTCCCATATTTTTGGCAAGTTTCAGGACAAAGTGATCTCTCTCTCTCTCTCTCTCTCTCTCTCTCTCTCTCTCTCTCTCTTTCTCTCTCTCTCACACACACACACACACACACTACAAACAGCCTCCTGCTGCAAATAGTCCAGCCCAACGCTGTGAGCACCAGCAAGAAACCCAGCAGGGCAAGGCAAGGAGGAGTCCAGGAAGCAAAGGAGAAAGGCGAATAATCCAGAAATCCAGCAAGAATGCCAGGAATCCAGGAAAGTTCAAAGGTCGGCATTCGATGCTCCACAAATTCAGGTTTTGTTCCCGAGAAATGCCCCTCCCCACAGCCTCTCCTTATGTCTCAGTCCCCACCCCCACCCCGGTGTGCCTTGCGGAGAGGGGCGGGGCGCTCTCTTCCCGAGTAGCCGGGTCATTCTGCGCCGTTCTCGCCTTCCCTCCACTCTCCGTGCTCTCGGATCAGGAGGGGGGCAGTCCTTGCTCATCGCCTGAGCTCTGTCTTCTCCTCCCACCCCCTCATCCTCCCTGCCTACAAGCCTTGCCGATCTGCTCCTCCCCCATTTTCCTCCCAAGCCAAGGAAGCCGCCCCTTCGGTCTCTGCAGGATCCGCAGAGGGGGAGGTCAGGGTTTCCACTGTTGTTCTAAAAGCAAGGACCCCCCGCCCCCCGGGGAAATTTCCAGAAAAGAGCAGCCAGGATATCCGGCGAGATTTTGTACCTGGGACATAGCTGCCCCCAACCCCCCATGCATGGTTTGCCTGCGGCTGGCATCATCAGACAGACCCCTTTTCTGATCAACGTGCAAAGGGACCCCCCCAAAAAATCTGAGGAAATTAATCACCCCACCACCACCCAAGAAAAGTGTGCAGCAGCAGCCAAACAAGCCAATGCAATCCTAGATTGCATTAAGAGAGGGATACAATCGAGATCAAAGGAGGTACTAATACCGCTCTATAAAGCCTGAGTAAGGCCACACCTAGAGTACTGCATCCATTTTTGCTCACCACGCTATAAAAAAGATATTGAGACTCTAGAAAGAGTGCAGAGAAGAGCAACCAGGATGATGAGGGGACTGGAGACTAAAACATATGAAGAACGGTTGCAGGAACTGGACGTTGCTAGTCTAGTGAAGAGAAGGACCAGGGGAGATAGGAGAGCAGCCTTCCAATATTTGAGGGGCTGCCACAGGGAGGAGGAAGGGGGTCAAGCTATTTTCTAAAGCACCAGAGAAGGAACAATGGATGGAAACCGATCCAGGAGAGATTCAATCTGGAAATAAGGAGGAATTTTCTGACAGGGAGAACACTCAACCGATGGAACAGAAATTGCCCTCGGAAGTTGTGGGAGCTTCATCCCTGGAGGCTTTCAGGAAGAGACTGAGACTGGCCTCGGTCAGAAATGGTGTGGGGTCTCCCGCTTGGGCGGGGGGGTTGGACTAGATGACCTACAAGGCCCCTTCCAACTCTGTTCATCGGTTACCTGTTTCAAAAAAGGGGGATTAGGTACCGGCTGCGAGGGGAGGGGAAAGGCGAGGTCCCAGTGGAAAACACCAGGACAGAGACCACACTCAACAGCTGCTAGTCCTCCAAATCCCCCACGTGTTCCCCCCCACCCCACCCTGCAGACCGGGGGTGAGTGGGACACACAGCCCAGAGAAGCCACTCCGGTTGTTCCGTAGAGAGACTCCGTTCTCGGGCTGCCGTCCTTCCCTGTGGCGGTTTGGCCCCACCGTCCCTTCTCCCCGCACCCTCCCAGCCATGTTTGCTAGTTCTTCCCGCGGGGGCCGGGGGCCCGTGGGAGGAGGGGGCAAATTCAGCCTGGAGGAGCTCTACGGCCTGAACAAGAAGAGCAAGATCCGCGGCGGTGGAGACGGCAGCCAGCGTCGAAGCCCCAAGAGACAGGGGGTCCCTCTGGGCCCGGATGGGGAGGCCCTGAATTCTCCCCAGGGAGTGGAGGCCACCAGGTGTTGCCTGGAGAAACGGCGGATGGAGAGCTACCTGATGGAGGCCGGGATGTTGGCGGAGGAAGCCGAGAGGAGCCAAACCAGCATGAGATACAGGTAGGGTGTGTGTGTGTGTGTGTGTGTGTGTGCGCGATGGGAAGTGCAGTCCAACTCGCTAGAAAACTCGCCAGCTGTGGAAAAGACCAATGGAGATCTAAGTAGGGCCCAAAAAATGACAGCTATTGGAGTCTCAGACAGACAGACAGTCAGAGACAGGTAGACGGGTGGAGAGGGGACGGAGAGAGGGAGAGATCACAAAATCATAGGGCTGGAAAGGACATTGGAGGTCTTCTAGTCCAACCTTTAGGGGGCCCAAAGTTGGGGTCTTTTATCATCCTGGACGAATTATTGTCCAATCATTTCTTTAAGATACATAGCAGACAGACAGAGATCATAGATATATAGAGATGAGATGAGATGAGATAGATGATAGATAGATAGATAGATAGATAGATAGATAGATAGATAGATAGA